GGGGGGGGGGACAAAATGCAGAACTCCGTGTAGGATGCAAAACAAAACGAAAAGAACCAGGAAATGGTCACCTGCAAATGACCACTTCAGAATATTTCTCAAAGATTGCTTTGAGATCAATGGTACGACGAGCGGTTTGAGAGTCATCGTCTGAACCGACAAACAAGGCTTTGAAATCCGAACAGATGCCCTTTGCTGCGTTTCCCTGGAAAACGATTTCATCGTCTTCCAAATCCTCTAGTTGAAGATTGTACTCAACCCCAGAATTAAAGCTAGCTACAAGAATAGCCTTTTCTTCTGGATCAGTAGTGCCGCCTGCGTCTGCCTCGGTCCCAATGGGAAGGATCACAGCCAGATTTTCGTCAAGATCAACCAACATTCCTTCGCCTCTTGTGATGGTCGACACAGGGACCCCCTCACAATTCATAGAATTGCCTTTTTGGTTCTCGGCAATCTCATGCACCCCCTGATTTGTTTGCGATGTATGAGGTGACGTGCGCTCAGGAGAGCCGGATACTGGCGAACCTGGCAATCGTAGTTGGGACGGGACTGGGGCAACACCTTCTTCAGCCGGGGGAGAACAGTAGCTGCCGGCGGGGGCGTCCAGACCTGCTGAGGTGGCATGGGCCGCAGTAGCATTGGTCTGGTGGAGGGATTTATCGTCACCCTCTACCCTGACCGAGACCCCCGGAGCTGGCCACTTTGATAAGTGCTGCTTTCCCTTTGATTTGAAATCGGCAGTCAGTGATTTTTCCATTTCGGTCACCATATTCTGTGGCAATTGGACGAATTCCACGTCGTTGTCGAAATCCAAGAGCACGCCGCTTGGCGGTGATGGTCTTGTCACGACAACTCGAGCCCGAGGGGGCTTGGGGTCGGCATCAGGGCAGGTCAAGCCACTCACTTTGGCCCTAGAGGTACTTGCCGCTGCCTGAGCCCGGACATTTTGTCCGCCATCGGCGCGACTTGCGGGGGCTTCGGTCCCGCTCCTGTTAGCTGGGTGAGCTCTGCGGTACCCGTTGTAGGATCCACGGCGGTTTCTGCGCCTGTAGCCATTGAATGGGGGCTGTTGGTGACATGATGTCAGTATTAAAAACATATTTATCTGTCATAGAGCACTCAGTACTCACAAGACGGGGAAGCTCTTCCTGTTGAAGTCCGGGACAGGGAGAATTGGCAAAACATCTGTTCTCAAAGAAAAGTGCGAGTCTGCCTTCTATTTGGCATAACTCAACTGCCAGCAGCATCTCGTTGCTTTGCACAAGCTTTTAGTCGATAAAGTTAGCGTGAAATTTGAAGTGAAACTGACAAAAGTAGTTATGACTTACCCACTCATGACATTCGCGAATGAGGGACTGAGCCTTGCGCATTCTGTCTAAGGTTCGAGCAGCCATTTTGTAAAGAAAGTATGATGTTATGCGGAGGTAAAGGTGTAATGAGAAGATCAAGAGATGTAGGTGATGGGTGCTCAGTGCTGAGAAACTGCAGTGAAACGTTGAAGCTGTTGGTAAGAAGGAGTATAAAGGAATCAAGAGTGAGGAATTGCAATTTATGCAGGCAGTCGTTGAAGATATTGCTGAGAAGTAGATAAATGCCATAGAAGGCGATGGTTGATGAAAAGGTCGAGGGAAGATTTGGTGAATATCTATTTTATACCTCGATCCTAGTTTCGTCGTCATTGCACCTTTATAGATATAACCCTAGACTGCCTACGCTCTTATTGTGGCTTCATTTCTGCTCAAATGCTTATGTCCTCATGTCATGTTTTATGTCTCTTTCACTTTGCATCTTCTTCTTACTCGTAGACTTAAAACCACTACTTGAAATTTGATAGCGCTAACTTACGATCTTAGAAGAATGCATATATTGTATTATTATGACAGTTGTTCGATAGAACTAGCATACACAGCATATTACAAATTCTATTTCTAGCCTTTTGTTGATAGTTCTGCCTCCTCGTAATACCAAGCATCTACATCATCTCCAACCTGCTTCATCTCCAACCAGAACTACGACTTGTGTTGACTTTCATCGCCAAATATTAACCCGGATCTTACGCCTATCGGTATCTCAACTTTCATTCATCTTTGCACAGAAAAACGCTACATTTCGCTGCGTAGTCTCATCTCATTTCGTCATTTAGTCCCTCGTTCACATACGTCTGACTTCGCATCAAAATTGTGTCTATCTCACTCCCAAAATCTCTCATTCACAACTGCCCGCTATACACTCCGCTTCTCTCCGCTTGACTACTGAACAGTCAGATACTTGTACTCTCAGCCTCATATTCTGACTATTTCCCAGCATGATGCCCTACAAACATGAACCAATGGGCCATTGGACCCAGCAAGTCACATGGAAATTGACTAGAGCTCGATCTTTGGTCCGTGAGAGCCACGAATGGGTGATTGGATCTTCATAGGAACGTCGGTCTCATTATCCATGCTAACATCATCAACAAGTAGTTCGCCAGAAATGACGAGACCGAGCTCAGTGCTGAGCTTCGTCAGATTGAACGAACCCTTGCCATGGTTCTTGAAGATAGCCGCCTTCGACCCCCGCCCCTCTCGGCACGCCGTCCCCCACCTGTAAGTGATTTATACGAACTCAACATACATTCAATGGGGTATTAATATCATCTTTAATAGCTACCACCACCCGGCCCGATACGTAGTAATCGTCATATTCGCGAACGATTCACCCGTGAGCCCGGTAATGGCAATTACAGGCCCCAGCCAACGCGGGAGAGCCAGACTCGGATTTACGCGAGTAGCACTAGAGACATCCAGATTGTGCCGACCCGACCTACCTCGAGTCAGACCTTTAGGGATTCAAGTACCCCTGCTTGTGCGAAAAACGAGACGAGTGTCATCAAGCCCGCCAATTCTATTGCGACCGCACCACCACCGCAAGGGGTCCTTGTGGACTTCGATGAGGATTCAACAGTTGTTGAATTGCTGCCGGGCATTGTGGCCACCATGGAAGTATTGCAAATTGCTCACATCGAACCAAAATGCTAGCTGGAAGTGTGTTGATGCAACACAATGGTGATCAGCGAGCCTAGGGTTTCTCATGGCAGGGGAGCACACTTGATTTCCTCTTTTTTTCGCTTTTTTTTTATTTACCTAGCATATGTATTTATTCCAATGCATGGGTGTGTGCTCTAGGAGAAGTCATTCTTCACAGCCGATAAAAAGTACAGTCTACGGAAGGAAGAATTGGAAAATAAGACGGCCCTCGATACTTGCTCAGTAGAGAGGAGTAATGCGATGGTGGATACACTTACAAAGCCATACATTTTTTATATGGATCACTGCTCCCTTGCTTATTTGCTGGCCTTTTTGATGTTTCCAATGGGAGGTTATCATAAACAATTGTATACGTAGAGTCTCAAATTCATAACCATGAGCACAAACAAGTAGTATAGACGCGCCAGGCTAAAAGAGGCAACTCAACACACTGGCTCAAGGAAATTGACGGAAAAGTTCAACATTGGAGGAAAAGTGTCTTGCATATTTCAAATCAAGCTATGTAGGTCTGCTCTTCCATCGATCAACGTCATCATACGGAGTACATTGTAGTTCGATACAACCCAGTTTGACTTTAGCAAAAGCCCCTTACATTCCCTCGTGGCACATCCCTTGATTTCCAAAGTGTACATAACAACATTCAAGATATTGTACAGCTAGATCTAATGACGTGTGGTAGTATGTGTATGTAGATCAGAGATTGCCACATTCCTTCTAGAAGGATACCTTCTGAAAACAATCGGTTGCCGGCGAAGGTATGTAAAACGTCTTGATGGGGGTTATGCTTATCCGTTATCAGTTCCCCCTATTACTATTATCACCGCACTCAGCCACGCATAACCGAGAACGAGAATGGAGCAAATGAACCACGATCTGTCATTTTACGGCCGTGCCTGACACTAACGATATGCGTCCCTGCCCAGTGCTTGGTGTGTCTGCCGGGACCTAGCGACCGACTAACAACCGAGGCAGATAAGGTTACAACATACGGAGTAGATAGTCTTGGATCGTCGTTCTATTAGGCAGGAGCGAGGAGATTCACTGGTCAAGTCTTGGGGGGTCTTAGGGAGTCTTGGGGGCGAAAGTGAGCTTCCTAGTGCGGAATACGGGTGCTTGGTGCCGAGCGCGCCGAGAGAGAAAGAGTGTACGGAGTGCTCTTGGAAGCGTGTGGCAGCCTATGCGAGGCTCGCGCATGGATTAAGATTATCCAATTTTGGGGCTGATTCTTTTTCTTTGTCCTAATGGCCACATTTATTTTTGGCCGGCCTAATTGGTTCGGCTCAAGACGCCTTGAGAACGGACATCGGATGTCCGATTTAAAGGGGGTATCAAAGTATATAACATACAATATACATCTCACAAAGTAGCAAATTGTACTCCGCACTACGTACAGTACATTGTATGAAGTCCTCCGTATTCCGTACAACTTACAACATACATTGATGTATCTATCCATTGTCTGAACTGTCGATCAATGTAAAGCGTTATCTCCGCAGAGAAAGGGAAAGTGGAAAGTACCAATGCTCGCGCTAGTATTGTATCCATCCATTACTATCCATTACTAATTTCCGACTGCAAACACCTGGGGCGGTCTCGCATTGTTAACAGTGTACTCCGTTCTCCGTACTTTGTGAATAATTACGGAGTAGTCAGGTCATTTAGTTTGGCTAAACGTTAAGGCTAACTTGGTCAAACTACGGAGTACCTGGGGACTATCATACCACGTTAAACGGGGCTATTATCACCTGGGCAAGATCATCAGCTGTTCAAGTGACCCCTAAAATGACCCTGAAAATACCAGAATTACCATTCAATACCATTCAATACCACGCACAGACGGAAATACCCCGAACCACTCCACAACAGAAAGGGTAAAAAAATCAAAAATTAGAAATAACGAGGGAAATACCAGCCAATCAGGGTCCTTTCCTAATAGAAAAGGGACCCTTTTAAGTCCGACCCGTGGACCCTACCTTCCAAAATTAACGGAATCCATCCTTAATTGGGTTAGTCTCTGTCAATTTCATGTTTTCATGTTTTCAATGTTTTCAGAGAGCCCTAGAGCCTAGAGGGGGGCATGCTCAGGTGGTTATCATATTAATAACTATTCGCCTCCCCTCCGTTTTCATTCTCTTTCCAGCGACCAGAAGAACCGTTTTCGTTCTGTTATAACTATCGCCCTTGCAGTGAATTTATCTTCACTTGCTGCCTCTCGTTTATACACATCTAACTTACATTACTGCCCCTTTTTCTTTGCTTCCCCACACTTTCCCTCGTTTCCTGTGGCTTGGATTCAAATTCTTGGATATTCTGTCATTTCCACTGTACATACCAACAGTACATAATAATGGTCCGCTTTGTGACACCTTTGGTCCTGGCCTCGCTGTCAGTGTCCGCCTTCGCCGCACAATCCTGCACCGCCAGCAGCCAGTGCAAAGACAAGAACTACCCTTGCTGCTCCCGTGAGTAATATCACCCCCTTAAATCGCAATTTATACTAACGAATGTCAATACAGAATATGGTGAGTGCGGTACTGGTGCCTACTGCCTCGGCGGTTGTGACCCTCTCGCGTCGTTCTCTCTCGATTCCTGTGCGCCTATGCCCGTTTGTGAGAGCAAGACTTACACCTGGGACAACCTCGACAATTCCATCACCCAGGACAAGTACCTGGGTAACGCCAGCGCTGCTGACTGGACCTACAGCGGAAAGGTTAAAACCGAGGATGGTAATCTGATCATGACCATGCCCGCCAAGAGTGTCGGTACTCTCTTTGCCAACAACCACTACATCTGGTACGGCAAGATTTCTGGAAAGATTAAGAGCTCCCGCGGCAAGGGTGTCGTGACCGCTTTCATTCTTTTGTCCGATGTTAAGGACGAGATCGACTACGAGTGGGTCGGTGCCGATTTGACCGCTGTGCAGACCAACTACTACTGGCAGGGTGTTCTGGACTGTAAGTCGAGAGAAAGAAGAACAATCTGATCCGAATAACCAATACTGACTTAATGAACTAGGGCACAACAGCGCCAACATCAGCGTGGATGGTGCAGACACCTTCAATGACTGGCACACTTACGAGATCGACTGGACCCCTGAGAAGGTGGATTGGATCGTCGACGGCACCGTGCACCGCACCCTGAAGAAGGCCGATACCTACAACGCAACATCCAAGCAGTTTGAGTTCCCCCAGACACCCTCCCGCCTTCAAATGTCTCTCTGGCCCGCCGGCCAGGCCAGTAACGCCCAGGGTACCATCGACTGGGCTGGTGGTGAGATCGACTGGAACAGCGAGGACATCAAGACCGTCGGCTACGACTATGCCACCGTCGGTGAGGTCAGCGTGCAGTGCTACGATCCTCCCTCCGATGCCACCAAGAAAGGCAGCAAGGCCTACCTCTACACCAACTCCGCTGCCATGGAGAGCGATATCGCCATTACTAACAACAACACCGTCCTTGCCTCCCTCGGCGCCACCGGTCTCGACATGGATCTCGGCAAGTCAAGCTCTTCTGGCTCTTCAACCGCCTCTGGGTCCAACAGCATCCCCACCAGCAACGGTGGCTCTGGCGGCATGTCCAGCAACACCACTTCCTCTGATAGCTCCAGCTCTGGCACTTCCACCACCGATGCCTCGCAGACTTCCACTACGGGCTTCACCCAGGGAACCACTACTCAGGGCAACGGTGCGGCCGGCCAGAACGAGCGTGTCCTCCGTGGCTCGCTCTTCGGCGTCCTGGTGGCTCTTGTTGTCCTCGTGACACTGTAAATGCTTTGCTGGTTTGATACGTATATATCAGCGTTTTACCATTCTTATATTCTTCTTTCTTGCCATGCTTATTGCACAGCATCGAGTACATTTTTTTGTTGACTACTGTGCAACTCCGCTTCGTGTCTTGTCTCTGACTGACCTTGAACAAATCACCTAATGAATTACTTTGCTCCTTGTATCTTTTTTCCCTCTTCCTTCATTAGGTCGTGATGTTCAACGGTCGACTACATACGCGTCTGCAATTTTCCTCCATTTTTGTTCGATATACACCTACCCGGCGTTTTCTTTTGGCCGATTCATACTCTTTCAATTTCTTTCTGATTTACGCGATGTACCGCTACTCTGGTAATGATTTGTGATTCCCTGCACATGACTGGAAAATAGCTACAAAATTGTGATCTTTTGTTCATATACCCCGTATACCGGATTTTACACCCGCTCTATGGCTTTCCCTTTCTTAGTAGCACGTCCTCGAGTATTGCATAATCAATAAGCTTATATGTGGAGAGTACAGACTGATAACAAAGAGCACAGAAAAGAACTGGTAACGATGGAAAAATTAGCTTCTGGAATCCATGAACGCCAAAACAAAAAGACTATCTCGACCTCCCGAGAAGATTCAAACGGCTTTACGGCGATGTCTCGATCTTAATCTTTGCCTCCTTCTCTTTCTTCACTTCCAATTCCTCCTTGGTAGGCTTTCTTGCCCAGACGCGGGTCCTAAACTTAATTAGCAAGAAACAAGCGAGCGATGCGATTCGAAAGGAAACCCACCCAGGTTCATAAGCGTGAATGTGCGGATTGCTCAGCTCTTTGCGCACTTTAGCCAGATACACCTGCACCTCCTCCTTCGTCCACGGCTCCGGCTCCCCAAAGTGAGTGAGGAGCCACATCGCCCAACCTTCTAAAGCGGCATTCCAATGGCCATACTGGAGGTGTCCGGCCTCCTTCAGTGTCAGATCCCTAGCCCACGGTCCTATGGGAATCTTGTACCGTTTCTCGTGCACATCCACGAACCCGGCTTCCTCGATTGCGCTGCGCATTGTTTCGTTGGTTCTGAGGGACCGTCCAGCTCGCTCAGAGCATCTAATAAACATGGCGCCCCACCCATATAGCTGGTGTTCTTTCTTCAAGGTGCCATCATCGCTGTAGACTCGCACGTCTATTTCCACTTGTTCGATCCAGCCACCGGGCTCTAGGGCGCTATTGCGAAATAGAAAACAAATTAGGGTGGTTCGATATCTCAGAAGATGGATTAGTAGGGTTGAAACTCACTCGTAGGCTTGCTTGTATAGCTTACGCCATCCGTCGGGAGGGAATGCACCATACATTAGGCGCATATGGATGAAGTCAAATGGCTCTCTCCATGTCCACTCGCGAAGCACATCATCCACCTCGAAGATGCAGTTTGGGGGCATCCATGTTACGGGTGGGGGGAAGATATCCACTCCGCGGACGGTAGCTAATTGGGTTTAGTTAATAATACTTTATTTAAGAATAGAAGGAGTCGAATCAAGAAACCCAGTACCTAACGGATAGCGATCGGACACATCACTAAAGATTTGTTAGAGGTTTTCTTGAAAATAATTACTCGTTGACTTACATTGCCCAACTCCCTTGCCCAGTTCCGATATCTAAAATATTCTATACTGCATGCTTAGCGGAATGTTCAAGCAAGGATCACCTCAGTACAAATTCACCTTGGGCGAATCGCCGATAGGGGAGCGGAAAAAAGGATTCAGTTGCTCGTGATCTAGCACGAGAAACATCATATGGCTGAGTTCGTTAGTATCACAGCCTCGTAACTGGCGATAAATGAAACGCATGGATGGGGACGGGGTGCGGTTTACCCAATCTCGAACGCCTCGAATTGCTGCTCGTCAGAAGGACCCCTTGATATGGTTAATCCATGTAAAACAAGATCATTGCATCACAACCAACCAGTAGTCATCTTCTTTAATGGCTTGATATCTACATACCGGGTTAGTCTTAAGAAGTGTGATATTAGACTGGAAGCATACTGACCTTCGGCCGTTTTCCAGCCGTCCTCTCGCGATCGCAGACGCGATAGATGTGGTATCCCTAAATACTTTGAGAATACCACCGTGGATATGATTCGCAGTGGCACTCACGACTGAAGGTCCTGCGCATCCATGCCATAGCCATTGACCATGGAGTAGAAATCAGGGTCCTAGACGAGAGATGAGAATGACTATATCAGATGATGGCCACTACTTACCACCGCAATTTGCTCCATTTTTCCCATATCGACACTTTCCAAAGGCTGAAAGGTAAAACTGTGAAAGTGGGAGGGAATCGTAGGTGGAGTGTAAAAGTGTCAGACGGCAACGGGATTCCCGAGGGTCCACAACCGTTAGACTAGCAACGTGGTGTCAAAGTCAAAGCCCTAGAGTATAACCGAGATAGGACTAGATTGGGAACTTGAAGAAAAAGTACATAATGACAGCTAACTAAGTACCTATGGACTAATGATCCATGTACCCTATGTGGGCCCTTAAAGCGGGGAAATTGCGTTTGTTCATGCACGTACGGAGTACATGTTGGGATCTCTTTTTCTGAACTTCATACTCATTTCTTAATCTACAGTTTATGGGTAACCATTTGTTTTAAGATGCTTGCATGTGTTACATAGGTACATGTTTGCCACATTTGCCTTTTAGTACACGCAAAACCACAAGCCCTAAACTACCCGTCCTTCCACTTAGACTTCCTCAGAACGAGGCTCAGCCACCTTCAAACTCATTCCATAGGTTGCATCAAAACTTGCCTCCTCCCCGACAAAAACCAAGTAAGCCAGGCGAGCATACCGTTCCGCTTGCAACGCACTCTCTGGTGCGATCTCAAGCAGAGACTTGCTAAGAATCATCCACGCAACAACAAGTTTATCCATGGCGAGTCCCCATTTTTTAACAACAAGTGGCCCATTCACACCTCCCTCAAGCACAAATCCAATCGCCGCAAGACCCCGGCTGACAGCCTCCCTAGCTTCACCCTGCTGCTTCAGGCTGTCATAAACCCCAGCAATCAAAGCAAGCGGCTCCCACAGTCCTAGATGCAGCACCTGCTCGAGCGGGCGCGAATATGTCTCAGCCAGACGCTCAATGAGCGTCTCAGCGCGTCCGCGGTTCTTACATTCCAGTGCCATGGCGATCTCCGCGCGCTGTCTGACCCGTGTCTTGAGAACGCGGGGCTCAGTCGCCTTGACGTCGGCGCAAATGACGCAGCAGCACTCAAAGCCCCAGTGGCGGAAGTCCGTTGAATAGTTTTCGGGGGCGGGGACGAGGTACCAGATTTTCAGCTCCGTGTTTGCGGGGATATCGGTAGCTGCGCGGATGATCATCATATCGCCGATGAAGGCGCGGTGTGCGTTGCTCATACACGAGTGGTTGATCATTGAGGCGTAGGGCCAGATGCCGCAGTTGTGCAGCGTTTCGGGGCCCCCGCTTGCATCGCGCGCGTCATGGATGTGGTCACCTCTTGAGGAAGTTGGGCTGCCGAAGCTGTTGAGAGAGACTATGCAGGCGATTTGAAATCTGCAGAGTAGGAAGGGAGATTTGTTAGCTTGGAGCGTTTAATATGGTGTTGGTTTGTCTTTTAGTTACGTGTCTACCACTGGCTTTCCATCCACAGGGCCTGTTGAGACCTCCTTGAATCCGTTGTTGTGGAGCTTGGTTACCACTGATGCTGATGATTGGTTCTTGTACAGTTTTTCGATGATCGATGATGCCAGCGCGAATTGGCCTCCTCGGGTGGTCGTCCGCGTTTCGGTGTTGACATGGAGGGCGCTACTCCACCTTGGCCTGCTAGGGTGCTCGCTTGCATATGCAAAGGCCTTTTCGCAGAGAAGTAAATCACCGACCTTGACTGCCTCAGTTGTAAATAGGCCTCGTCCTTGGGACTTGGTCTGCCGGACTGTCACTGGGCCAATCCATGTCGCATGGTCCAAAAGTGGCGGGTAAGTTTTCGATGCTTTCTCCTGCATTTTCTTGAAGTTATATCCGCCCTTCTTTTGCTCTGCAAGTCTTGCGATAGCTTCACGGAAATCGTTCTTGGCGCTCACATCTTCAGGGTATTTCTTGCAAAGTTTCGTGAATACATCGCAGCTTTCCCGGAACCTTCTTAGACGGTATAGGGTTTGGGCTTTGCCTCTAAGGGCTTTGTCGGATTTCGGGCCTGCTGGAACGGCATCGAGATCACGCAGAGATGCATCCCACTCATTGACCTGGAAGAAGGCCAGGCCCCGGTAGTACAGAAGGTAATGCATCTCTTCCTCTGTCGGCGAACACTTCAATCCTTTGGAGTAACTGTCATTGTGGTCAGTATTGTTCGTTGTCAAATGCATTCGGTCTACTGGAACTTTACTATTCAGTAGCGGAATATAATTTGCCTCGGTTGAGATGCTCGTTACCCATGCTTAGCCAATCCCCGGCCATCCAGTGAGAGGTTTCATCCTCTGGAAGCCGCTCTCGCCAAGCCGATGGGACCATCTTGTCGAAAATTGGAATGAACATGATATCAGAAACGTGATCAACTCTGATGCCGTATTCGCCATGGAACGTCAAAGTCAGGTATGGCTCCTTCACAAGCAAAATTTGCCCTTTGTCAACAGAGCCATCCTGGCAGCGGAGCTTCTCGTTCAACATTTGAAGCGGGATCGCATCCTTCTGTTCGTCTTCCACAATGGCCATAACCGTAGTCATCTTCTCTACCTGGGAGATTGATCTGACGAGAATGTAAGAGCCTCTATGGTGAGTTTCAAGAAGCAAATCCTTGACCATGGCCTTTCTCAGACCTTTCAAGGGAGCGAGACACGGTGGATAGATGGGTTGGGCAAAAGAGATATCCACCGAGCTGGCGCTCTCTCGGCTGCGTGATTTCTCTTTGTTCGTCTTTTGCTGAAACTTGAATTTCTGCAAGAGTTCATCTGGTGTTGTCACTGGGTTGAATTGCATGCCCTTGACGGCCTCGGCAGCTTCGAGAGCCCGGTTGTGCTCACTCAAGAGCTTATCGCTCTCTGGGTCCTGAAGGAACCTATCCATCTTCAAAGCTTTTGCTTCCTTTTGGGGAGTTAGTCTAATGATGGAGCAACTAGCTGATGAAGCTTGATCCTACCGATGATATCGAGGATATATTCGATCGAAATGGGTGACGGTGAAACAAAGTTATAGGGCGAAGTGCACGCGAACAAACAGCGAGAGAGCAAAGCGCGTGAGGAACAAATGTAGGTAAAAATTGGACTATTTAGTCTAAATTGGTAGCTACGACCTTCGAGTGTTCTAACTAGGATTATTTTGCACGGGAAATTTAGACCTGAGGCTATGAAATGAGGACATGCCTGCCTGTATCCATTAGGCTACGCTGAAGAGACGTTCTCGATAGCTCAACTTATTTAGTGACTCAGTAGAAGAGGTTGTCTGGCCGTTCTATGATGAGAGATCGCTACGAATAAGCAGTATTCTCATTCCTATTGTAATATATAGCTACATAGGTACCAATCAAGATATAGCAGTGACCTACGCAAGATAGGTAAGCTAGTACGCGTTCTTGTATGATAGCTTCATATGAAGCTCTGGATGTCCACGGGTAAGAACATGGAAGTCTAGCACAGCTTGTGCTATTTATTATTTGGCTTTGTCTAGCGATCCGTTTGACTTCAGCCTCTATTTCCCTTTATCTCACTATGTGTCCTCCCATGATACCTCCATTTTCCTTTCTGACATCTTGCAAAACACATGGTCTATACCAGGTGGCATTTACATCAAAGTACTTTATTCTCAATAACCTATAGTTATCCCTTTCACAATGAATTACATGAACAATAATACTATAGATACTTAATTGTCTCTCCTATGAAGTAAATAGGGTAACAGCATAAAAGGCTTGATCTTTATCTCACTTTTGCTTCAGTCCGCGTTATATAGTCTGGCTTTATTCACTGTGCTCTATCAATGACAGTATTACTTTATCATTGCGCAATGCCCGCTTCTTCATAAATGAGTTTCCAACTTCTCGGTTTTGAGATATGTTCTAACACAAAGTTATCCAGCATTTCACTCAACCACACAGGTTTACCACATGCTATTGAAAGTCATCCTATCTTGTCTCATACCACAACCACAATCAACTCATCATTCTCCCGATATTCACGGAGCGAGGATACAACCAACAGTGAGCGCAAACAGGCATTCTACCTTGAGCCGCACTAACACAGAACAAAGATCTCTCAAAGTCAGACGGACACAGAGAGCGATTTACATCGCGTGGCATCCACACGAGCAGGTTCAAGATGTGCCTATTTGTGGAGACCCACTACTCCAATTGCAACCATAGGTGCTTCGAGCTCTACCTCTTTTGCCATGAAATCCTCAACCAACTAAATCGCATCAACGACCCGGACCAGCTCAGAAACTACGATTTGCCATTCGACCCTGATTGTCCCACCTGCCACCCATACACAATCACTATGAGAGCAACTCAGCCGGATATGAGTTATCTGAGTGTGATTTCGGAGAGCAACATTGTGCACCAGATGATGGATTTGGTGGAGAGCTGCCCTGATTGCAATACAAAGGGCGTGTGATTTCGATTTGAGGTTTTGCTACGATGTGAATTTGGAGACAAAGTGATTGGGGGTGAAGTCACATATATGTTTATTGGAGATGATTTATTGGGCAATATTGAAGCGAGAGAGAATAGTTCCCACAATACCAACGTTTGTTTCTAGTAAGACCAGTGTCAGCTGTACACAGATGTTCACAGAAATGAGATATATGAATTGCATATATGTATGATGACGATGATGAGAAACCCGAAATATCTAAACAGTGCTACCTAATACAGAAATCCAACAGAATAAGAAAAGGGTCAAGTTGTGGCTGTCGTTTAGTGTGCAGCACCACATCCACAATCATCGGCAGATCGCTTCCTGAAGTCTCCATGGTAAGTGTCTAGTCCCTCGGTATGGAAGTTCATGCCCAGGCGATCACCCATCCAGTCGTATGATTGCAAGGCGCCAGACTTGGTGTCCTGTAGCAACTTTGTGACGTTGTCGACGTTGAGATCAAGATAGTCAGCGAGGAAGTCTCCCACGTCGGTGTTCTCATTGTTGCCAACCAATGGCCAAGCGTCCTTGGTAGACGACGCGTAGATGTTGACGTCAACGGCTATAACGATATTAGCATACTGTCATAGAAAACTGCTTGAGACCGTCTTACCAGAATGTCCGTGAGTACTCCAGCCGACCTGGGCGCGGCGGCTGATCATGTCCGCAAACACATATGACGGGGTGACGTTGGGGACCGGGTGGAGCAAGGCATCGACTTCATGGTCTGTAGCATCATCGATGGCAAGCCCATCCTTAAGAGTTTGCCGGAGCCAAGACTGTTTAGTTGAATCGTCGGCGTCCTTGCCTGGCCCAGAAAGATATTCTTTTAATTGAGCGGCAAGGTATTCGGCAGAGTGGCTTGCCTTGTCCAGGACACTCGGAAGCCATAAATAATCAGGGTAGGTCTTGTGCAACTGTCGTGCTGCGGAAAGACCGCCGGTCTCGTGGTCAGATGTGCTCACGATCACACCAGGGGTGGAGTCATTCTCTAGGAACTCGAGCGCGGCAGCAAAGGCCCTGTCGTATGCCAGTACCTCGTGAACCTGAGCAGCAGGATCATTGCCATGGCCGGCATGGTCAATGCGAGAGCCCTCAATCATGATAAAGAACCCTTGCTCACTTTCCTCGGTGGCCTTGCTCAAGGCCTTCAAGGCAGTGCGAGTCATCTCCTCCAAAGAGGGATAGGTCTCATTTTGAGTGCGTCGATCAATCTCGAACGGGATATCCCCACTAGCGAAGAGACCTAGCAGTGGTAAAGTGGCATTATCGCCGCCCTGGAGGCTATCGAAGCCCGCACGGTCATTGATATAACCAAACCCATTCTGAGCAGCGACCTTGATCAAATCATGGTCATCACCACGGCAGCTGCCATCCTGTGAGTTGGGCAAGAAATGGCACCGCCCACCGCCAAGCAGAAGATCTACGACCCGGCCGAGAGGGTGTTCTCCAACCTCTTGGGCGGCGATCAGATCTTCGTAGTTCCGCAAATTGGCATGCGAGGCAAAGCATGCTGGGGTCGCATCCGTTACGCGGGTGGTCACAACCAGACCTGTCTTATAACCCGCCAACGCAGCCGCCTCGAGCACAGTTCCACAAGGCGAGTGGTCGGGAAGCACTGAGATGGCAGAATTGTAGCTCTTGCGACCACACGAAAAAGCCGTCGCTCCAGCCGCAGAGTCTGTCACCAAGCTAGAGCTTGACCGTGTTCGCGAGGTTCCAATGTAGTGTTTATCCAAGACCAGAATATCGTCGAATGGCAGATCGTCCGTGTATTGCCGGAAGCCCCGAGTCAGCGAGAGACTAGTAGGCCCCATGCCGTCAGACACCATGAAGATCATGTTCCGCTTGCCTGTCGGCTTGCCTCCAGGGCCCCAGGTGGTATTTGACGAATGATGGTCATGAGGCTCAGCTGGCTTGCGTGGGTAGATCACGGCTAGCACAATTACCAAAATTGTTGCAAGAAGGGCCCAGGAGAACACTCCAATTTCCCGCCAGGAAGGCCAGACTCGTCCCTTGTGTTGAGGGGTCGTTCGCTCGCCGGTCAGGAGAGCGTAGTCCTCCTCTTCATTTCGAATCGACGAGCCGTCCTCGGACAGGCGCGGAGGTAGGAGGGACTCTTCCCGCGCCATGGCTGATGAAAGGACAAAATCGTAAAAGAGTGAAAACAGATGTATGAGGTCGAGAACTTCGATTGCGACCTTCCCTTGGGAGGTTGTGTTGACTCACGTGCGCTCTGGACCCTGGAGGCGGAGGTGAGGAGATAAGGATCAGATAACAGGGCTCACATGATACGTCACGTTCCTGCATCACAGCTTTAGAGGTCGGGTAACACGTAACTATGCAACGTGTAAGAAACTACATCGGCCATTTCGTACAACCGCGGAATGCGAGGAGAAGAATTGTTTCATTTTGAATCGGCCTAAGCCATATATACTCAAACTATCCATATAATACATGTCATTCTCAAGACAACCTGTAAGCCCTAGAGAGGTCTAGCCTTCCACCCAATAGGAATCATAGCAGCGGCAATCTCAGTAACACCACGCTCCGTAGCAAGGAGATTGAATTGTGCGGCTGCATTCCGAGTATCGAGGATATCCACCCGAATACCCAACGAGTTGATGTGACGCTTAGTTTCAGGTGATAGCGGGAATATCGAGCCACCAAGACCAAGGATGAGCATATCTGTGGTGAAACTGTTAGCATATCGAAGAGTGATTTTGCGGTGAAGCTCAAGCATGTCATGTCCGTGGACGAAAGCACATATCCGGGACAAAAAAGCAACAAGAGCCAACATACCAGGCTTTGGCCAGACAAGATTCAGTAAACCCCAGACCGACTCATCAAGCTCGAACTGCCCTTTGGCATTGAGCATAGCATCCTTAGCGACACGATCGCTCTCTGCGCCCTCAACAGCCTTCCACGGCCGCCACGCAAATGCCTCACCGCCGACCAGCAACAGCCCATCACCGTTCGTAAGCTTGACACCATTGTTTAGATGAAACCCAGAATCGAGACATGCATCAATGGCCGTTGTTGGTGCAGGGATGTTGCCCAGCACGTTCAACGAATCAAAGTTGGTCTGAGTGTCTTCTTTGGACTCCGGGCCGCGGTCGCGGCTGGCTGGTTTGTGCGCGTGCGATCGAGGAATCATGCGGGTTGGTCGGATAGGTGAGCTATAATTGCGTCGTGTTGAGGGCATTGCAGTGCTAGGATTTGAGACGAGACATGGTGTTGCAGTTGCTGATGGGATCTGGCAGAATCGAGTCAAGTTCGAGGCGCCACGAGTATTAACCAAAGAGGTGCGCAAGACGCGCAGGAGTTGCGGTGATGGTGAATGCATTGATGCGATAGGTTCGATAAAGCGGCTGGTTTCAGGTTCGATCTGTGTTATGTAGCCTCCTGGTGATGTAGTGGCTCGGATGATGGTGAGTGTCACGTGAAGTAAAGCTTTCTGGCCCCGGGTCTTGGCGAAGAGAGCTAGCAGCCCGGAGACCTGGGCCTACAAAGTACATATCAACATCCACTCACGTGCCTCTGCATGAGTCTAAATATATCGCGTACTAACACGTAGCAAAGCTGTAGAACGAACAGTTGGGCATTCTATATAAACCAAAAGTGGATTTGTGTAGATTGTGAAATAGAGTTGAAACCCTAGTCTGTCAGATGTGAATACAGGCAAACAAGCAACTAGGTACGATCCACGTTAATTGAATTCTTCTTATATTAATATTGAGCCTAGCAATTAATCTATTTTGATTTTGCAGGAGTCCCAATCCTGACCCTCTGCGCCTCGATTCATATGAAACAAGAACAAAAGGAGACAATAACATCGTACGCGTCGTAGACCCAAAACGCCAACAAAAACAGAGAGAGAAAAAAAAAAAGAGAAAAACGATACCTGGAAGAATGAGCGAACTGAAAAATGAGAAATAAGCAAGAAAAAAAAAAAAGAAAGGCTGCCACCCCTCAAGATGAAACATCAAACTTGATCTCATGCCACCTCCGATCATTACTGCCTCTGGGTACTTTTCTTGTAAAGGTATGATGAAAAAGCGTATGCACATAGTGAAAATTAAACAAGAGTCATTCCCTGTCCCTATTTTAGCGGTTCAGGCATTATTGATTTAGTTGTTTCGGCGACCGACAACCTTGCGGTCTTCATCCGATTGACTAGAGCTGTCATCGCTGGTGGTTGCAGTGCGGATTCGCTCAGCCCGGTCTTGAAGTACCTGGGCTTCGGCCGCAGCCTTTTGGGCGCGGATCTGCTTACGCCACATGCTGGCGTAGCGACCCTTCATAGCCAGAAGCTCTTCATGCGTGCCGCTTTCGGCCACTTGGCCCTCTGACAAGACCAAGATGCGATCTGCGGTAGTAATGGTGCTGAGACGATGAGCGATTACCAGCATAGTGCGACCCCGTGAAAGAGTAGAGAGCGCCCTCTGGATATGCTCCTCGGTATCTGTGTCTAGAGCCGCGGTTGCCTCATCTAAGAGAATAATGCGCGGGTTCTTAATGATGGTGCGAGCGATAGCCACGCGTTGCTTCTCACCACCGCTAAGCCGTAGGCCACGCTCTCCAACCTTGGTGTTGTAGCCATCGGGGAAAGCAAGAATCTTGTCGTGAATGCTGGCGGCGCGGCAAGCCTCGAAAACTTCTTCGTCGGAAGCGTCCTGCTTGGCGTATTTCAAATTGTACATCAAAGTCTCGTTGAAAAGTACAGTATCCTGAGGCACCACGCCAATGTGCTGGCGGAGTGAATCGATCGTGATATCCTGTACATCATGCCCGTCGATACGGATACGTCCGTTCTCGGAGTTGTAGAACCTGAACAAGAGGCGGAAGACAGTGGACTTACCTCCGCCAGACTCACCAACCAAGGCGGTGGTGGTTCCCGGCTGGCAGTGGAAGGTAAGACCGTTCAACGCGGGCTTGCGGGCATCGTAAGCAAATTCAACATCCTCAAACTTGATGTCACCATTGCACATGGCCAATGGGGTGGCACTAGGGCTATCGACCACAGTTGGCTGCTCACGGAACAATTCTAGCAAGCGTTCGGCATTGATTAATGCGGATTGGATAGATCGATAAAAGGTGCCAAAGAAATTGAGCGGGCCCTGGAGTTGGACCATATAGGCCAGTAGAGATACGAACTTTCCCACAGGGCGCTGACCAGTAGCAACTTGGTATGCACAAATGAAGCACATTACCAATAAGCCCATCATAAACACGGTGTTTTGGCAGGTGTTCAGCAGTGTTAGAGAGAACAGCACGTGGTATTCGGCCTTCTGGAAGTCACCCACGGCGCCCCGGTACCGGTTGAATTCGTACTGTTCGGCGTTGAAGTATTTTACTGTCTCATATGAGACCATAGAGTCATTCCTAGAAGGAGCATAAGTCAGTCCCATATAAATCTCGAATGAATGATAGAAAGACTCGTTTTGACTTACTTGACGGCATCCTCTTGGCGCGAGGCATTGACCATCTGTCTCCTGATCTCTGCTCTCCACTGGGCCATGCGAATAGTGACATAGAGATAACCAAAGGTGGAGATCCCGACAGCTAGAGCATAATACACATCGAATGCGACCATGAAGAACACAACCGCAATCACCAGATCAACAAGCATTGGCACCACCTGAAAGGTGACCTGCTCAAGGAAAGTATTGATCGAACTGCCCTTGCTCAGAGCGGACAGGACTTCGCCGGTCTTTTTTCCGAGATGGAAGTCTAGGCTGAGACTATGGACGTGCTCAAACGCAGCGGTAGAGAGCTCCATGTAAGAATACTGGCTCACAGGAATCCAGAGGCTAGAGCGCAGAGAGCTGAGTAAGCCCTGGCTGCCCTGTAACCATCGGTACACCACATATAGGCAAATTTGAAGCCATGGCACTTGGAAGTCCTCACCGTCATCCTTCGTAAGAGCACCTGTAATGACTCCGATTTGGTAAGGTACCAAGACGTTGACGATTCGCTGGCATATGAGGAGCCCAAAACAGAACGTCACAACTAGTTGCAGGCGGCGGGATTTGGAAGGCCACAGGTATGGGAAAAAGAGCGAGTACCCGCTCAAGTACTCCCACCAGCTAGTGGAAGGAATGGTCGTCGGACGCACCCATGGATCGGTAGGTTTGGAAGTTTCTGGGCGAGGAGCTCCGTTCGTCGAGCCATATGAGTGACCATTGGCAGTTCCGTTCCCATGTCCATTCCCATTGCCATTTTCTGCGCCAGCGGAATCCAAAAGTCCTGTGGCTTCTGTGGCTCCATTCGTCCGCTGGCTTGCCTTCCCGTGGCTCTTCAAGCTGAAGGATTGACAGGCGTAGAGAAGAACCAGTGCAAACAAAATAAGGATGCGTACACTATTCGATCCCACTTCCAGAGACTCCCAGAATGTAATGCTTCTCCGGACTCGACCCCCTTCTGGGTCTCCAACAATTGGCTCGTGGTGAACCGAGGTGTAGATTGAGAGGGAGGTGCTAACAATAACCAATTCGATGGGGATGGCGACCGACCAACAGACAAATTGGGCGAGAGTAGGCGAGGGAGATGTGTCTAGCATTGCCATGAGCAGCACTGCGTAGACGAAGAACGAGCCGACGACATAAACCTGTGATAAGTGTCAATGGCTGTCGAGAAACACCAAACCATCCGAATAGAACGTACCACAAAGGACTGTCCTCGCCACCAGTTCTCTGACCTGGCCGCCATCACGTGTATGATATAGATAATTGCATCCGCAAGGAAGGTCAGGAGAATGGCCACGGAGAGCAAATTGAAAACTCGTTTGACGTTCCGCGAGAACTGGGATTTGTAGGCGGGCACATTTCGAGTTCGCTGAGGGAGTGGTCGCCCTCCAGGGCCGAAATATTGAGATTCATGCTTGCTGGCTTTCCTCGCAGCGATGGTAGTATTAGCCACGAAGGCCACGACAAAGAGGATAAGAAGGAAGATTGGGTAAGAGGTGCGTAAGTATTCCAGCAGCTCAAGGGCTGCATGTGGATCCATTGCCCACTAAATATCCCAGAAATGAGTGTGTGTTTCAAACAAGGTCCATGACAAGAGTGCTAAGGACAAGAAAGGGAGTCCGGGTTCGGATCGGAAAGGACAGGACGGGTATGGCGAAAGATCGACGCGAGGAATGGGAACTTTCCCAGGATGGAGAACCCAGGTTTCCCACGTGGAAAAAGCTAAGACGATAAAAAAGAAAAAAAGAAACGAAAGTTGGAATTTATAGAGATTTGGAAGTAAAAAACATATAAAACATATAAACAAGAAAAAAAAGAAGAAAATATACAAATGCTTGTGATATTTTTTTCTTTTTCCTTTAATATTTTGCTTATTGTTTTTTTCCCCTCTCTCTACTTTCTTCTTCTTCCTTAAGATTGTTTGACTTGGAAGGATAAGGTTGAAACTTTGGAAACCAAGAGGTATAAATTCAAAGAGGCAAAGAAAGGGAATAAGGAATATATAAACATAAAAATAACTGGAATGACGGTGTGGATTATGGTTGCTGCAGCTAAATCAGAGGGGATCCACTGGTATCAGTCCTAAAGCTTCCGAGGTCTCTTTTATACATACAATATCTTTTTACTCCGAGTCCTTTTAGGACTTTGTTTGTTCCTGAAAATATTTAGAAAAGTCCTGATATAAATTGATTAATCTAAAGCTTTTTGTGCCCGATGGTCAAAGTTCAAATTGTCCTGAAGGAAAAACAGGGGGGCAAGAAAAAAGATCGTCGATCGACAGATCGAGAACACTCCACGCATATAATGACTTCACCAACTTGCCAAGAAAAATTAAAACCCAAAATGAAAGAGGAATATTATTAACATTGATCATCTGAGTTCAGTCATTATGGTAATGAATTCTAAAATGACTTCCTTTTCCCCGTGATGTGTGACCTTCAGCTTAGATTGGTTGTCTGATCTTCCCGTTGATGTATGTGATTAGCTGAATGTCTCATATTTTTGCCTCTTCTTGGAGCCTTTAGTCATTTGGGTGGCACTCCATGAGGCGCAGCTCAATAAATTGGCCACTGATCATGGTACTCGTATGTCATGTACGTGTGTTGTATATATTGGTACATAATGCCATAGTCTGTGAATGATTTATGAATATCCATGGATATCATTATCCATGTGTTTCGTGTCCGTCCCGAAGCCCCGGTTGAGGTAAGACAAATCAGAATCGCATTCTTGTTTTATAGATAGTAACTATATCGGTATTTTGGGCTTTGGACACGCTCATCTCGGAGAAATCCTTCGTAAAACCACATTCCAATCTGATCTCTCTCATGTGTTGGCTTCTAGACCGCTCCTAATATGTGTTCAGGCCCGATGGCTTGCAAGAGGTAAAGTGTTAAGGAATACATCATAAATGATGGGGGAAAAAAGTGCAGATTAAAACTACCTAACTGATGCCCTATATGTGAGGCATAACAACATTACAACATACAAGTGATATTCTATCGTACTTATATGTAGGTAGATATGTTGTTCAAATCTTGTTAGATAACAATAAGGCATGGATCGTCGGTGCCTCAGGGATCTTTCCCTCACCGCTTGCATCTCGACGATCTCCAACTCTCCGCATCTTTCTCCCTCCAATTCGGTGGTCGTGTGCCATAATGGAGACCTGGCTGTAAACGATGTCGGACCTCTCAGGTTCGCGATCTCCGGTCCCTCCCCCTCCTCCCCCTCCACCACAGAAGTACTCAAATCGCGCTGCCAACGCCCTCGCTAGATTCGCCCAACCTTTCTTTTTGGGCTCGAGACCACCTAGTCCCCAAAGCAGTCGTGCGAATGGTCCCCGGTCGATCAGATCCAAATCACTGTAAGTATTGCAGCTTTCTCACACCGCTCTGATACCCCTACTTCCCTGCTTCACCTCTGTTTCCATTGTTGTCTCCGGTGCAGTGACCACCCCGCCATTTGGTCATCGGAGCTAGTGTGGTCGGGGAATTACATTTGAGCCAATTGAATCTTCAGTTTTCTAATCATATTTTTTTTCTGTAAAGACCAGGAGAACCGCAGACTGTGACCCACAAAACAGGCATTGCAATCACGGCTTTGGACATCTCGCCTGAGCGGACACATGCGGTTATCGCAGGCAAGGAGATTCTCAAAACCATCCAGGTCTCGCCAGACCGCTCATCAGAGGAATTCAATATTCGAAATGCAGTCATTAGCTATGCATCTACCCACCACGATGCAGGCGTTTCGATGCCACACAAGGACCAATTGAATGTGAAGGACGTAAAATGGTCACATGGGAACCATGACCGGATAATCGCAACTGCAGTCGCGAATGGTCGGATTGTGGTTTACGACCTACAGCGGCCCGGTCTCCAATTATGTCGTTTCCACGGTCACAACCGCCAGGTGCACAGGCTTGCCTTTAACCCTCATCTTCCTTCTTGGCTCCTGTCTGGCAGTCAAGATGGCACAATTCGGATGTGGGATCTACGATCCGCCTCTGCAAATCGGGGATCTTCCACATGCGGCAGCAAACATTCGTATCAGGGCAACAGCGATGCCATCCGAGACGTCCGGTGGTCTCCTAACGATGGAGTCATATTTGCGACTGCTTCAGACAGCGGCGCGATCCAGATGTGGGATTATCGAAAGGTCAACGCCCCACTGATGAGGATCGCCGCTCATGATCGCCCATGCTTCGCAGTTGACTGGCACCCGGACGGAAAGCATATTGTCAGTGGTGGCACGGATCGCCAGGTAAAGGTCTGGGACTTTTCTTCATCTGCAGAGCGACGGCAGAAACCTGCATTCCAGTTCCGGACCCCCCAGGCGGTCACAAATGTGCGATGGAGGCCTCCTTCTTGGGTTGGCGAGTCTCCTGCCTCGGGAGAGTGGCAATCGTCTCAAGTTGTCACGTCCTATGACAAAGAAGACCCACGTGTTCACCTTTGGGATCTCCGTCGCCCGCATGTTCCATTCCGCGAGTTCGATCGGTATGATTCACCCGCATCAGATCTGCTCTGGCGCTCCAAGGATCTTTTATGGACGGTCGGCGAGGCCGGGGCCTTTACTCAGACCGATGTTCGGTATGCGCCGACTGTGGTCAATCGCCGACCGATGTGCTCCGTAGCCTGGAGTCCCAATGGCGAGTTTGTTGCGTTTAGTCAACAACGGCCCAGGCGACGTCCTCTGGGAGTCAATGCCGCTGAATTTCTACGGCCCGAAGAAGACGAAGACAGCACTGGCGAGAGATCACTAAGCCAAAGCCCCGCAGATGAAATCTTTGATGAAGCCGTTCTGGCCACTTCCCTTCGGAATCGGCATACCAAATTAGCCGCGACTCGACCATCCAAGTCCTTGGGAAGCACTCCGCCCGGAGTAGTGGATTTCATACCCGTGCTCCCTCTAGAACAAGCATTGGCCAAACTCGCAACCCCGATGCCTAGCCAGGTTGGAATCATTACAAGTATTCCGGGTGCCACAAACGACTCAGCAGTATTTCGGTATTTGGCAAGCCACTATGCACCGTTGATGGATGAACACAGTGAGCATAGAACGCAGACAGACGTCCTGAACTCTTTGATCGAGTCACTGGACCATAACGCTGAATGTGCAGATGAGGTATCCCTGGCCAGATTGGCTCAGACTTGGAGAATTGTCAAATTCGCTATTCTTCAAGAACTCCAACGTAGAGCTAGAGATCATCCAGCAAAAGGTGGTCCGAAAGACAGGTCGTCCAAGGATGGAGGGTTGATAGACAGGTCACGACCCGATGATGGTCGACAGGACAGAGTCAAAAGTCGGTTGTTCAAAGGGGTCATGGAGGCGGTCCCCGAGGCTGAGAGCTCGTCGAACATGACCACCCCTCTCGCGCGACCATTGCCTGATTCCCCGAAGGACTCGTGGTCGAGCACTGATTCCCAAATCCCCTCGCTGAGCGATGGGGCGATTGACCTCGACCCTCTCCCACCATCAGTCTTGAGTGATCATAATGGTTGGGGGGTGTCGGACCGTATCCCCTTGCCGCGTGGACGAGTATCATCAATCGATGATGCGAATTCATCGAAATATCTATGGGATCCCACACAAGAAGACTTGGACATAGAGCAACGATCTGCGCCTCGTGCAATTGCTGGCAAAGCAGATTGGCGCCGTCGTGGTCACTCAGAATTCCCTCAGGCAAATTCTGAGGATGACTATGACCAAAAGCTGGAGGATAAACGTGCAGCGATACGTGACTACAAGCAATTTCCCAAGAAACCCTTGACTCTTGAATCACCAATGGAATCTAACAGGCCTCCCCGTACCGACCGCTATAGTCGGCATGATTCTTCGGAGAGTTTTCCCATGTTCTCTACGTCCACCGACAGTTCACACCCCTCCAAGTCTATTGGTGCGTCGTACTCGTCTGGTGGCCACCTTGAGGCATCTAAATCTTTGGATGGTGGACAATCTGCCTCAGCACTGAGAAGAGGATCGATTCTAGCTTCTACACGCGAGGAATCTGAGGATGAGCTCTTTGATCAGGTCGTCTCAGAGACTGATCGACTTCATCTGGAGCGCCCATCAAGCCCTCCCCCTTTAATCACAGAATCAACACCCCTTGAAAGACAGCCGCAACCTCCCCTACTAGATGATACCCCCTACCTCGGCACCTTGCCTTATTCAACAATGGGCGGTATCTCGCGAGTCCAGATCCCACTCACGCCAGACGGAACAGACTTGAACCCGTGGGGCATTGAAGCGATTTTAAAAGAATCAGTCCGATATTACCACAGCAGCAGCAGCTTAGTCGATATTCAGGCTGCGGCCCATCTTCTCCAGAAGCTGCACATTCTTTTCCGGGAGTGCGAACAAATTCTCCCCTACGAGGAATGCGAAACGGTTTTCAAAACTTACAATGAGCACCTGATTCGGCACTCAATGGACCTCGAAGCAGCAGAGCTCCGCCTATTTTGCGTATCAACATATCCTGCCGTTTACGAATACGCCCAGACAGATTCATTCATCAACGTCTACTGCTACATGTGTCAACGACCGTTTGAGAATCCTACACAAGATAACAGCCGCTGTTATCGCTGCAGTACACCTCAAGCACCATGCTCTATTTGCATGAGCCTTGATCCACCCCCAGAATGGGTTTCAGAGCAGCAAAATTCACCAATCACTTCATCAACCCTAACGAGTCCCGACCCAGACTCCGATACCACTTCAAACCATTCGGCGCAGTCCTCGGTTCCCACAGAACCCCTCCCAGCGTCGGAGATCGAGGTTCTCGAGCCCTTCACTGTACCTCGGCCCAAAGGCTCTGCGCTTTGGACCTGGTGCCAAGGCTGCGGCCACGGCGGCCATCTAGCCTGCATCACAACCTGGCTCGGCGACATCTCAACGAGCGAAGGCGGCTGTGCTACTGCCGGCTGCTCGCATGACTGCGGGCCTGGCCCACGTCGTGAACTAAACCGCCAAGCCCTGCAGGTGGAGACCAAGCGTCGCGACTCTGCTAGTCGGTCAGCTGGTGTGGGGCTTGTCAAGCGTGATCCCTGGACTAAGGGTGAAAGCAAGGCCGTCGAGAAAGTCCGCGGCATGCTGGGCGTTGCTGGCGTTGCCGCTGCCACTGGTGGCAGTGGTGCTGGCCCGATCACTTCGACAAACAATACTTCCTCTCCGGCGCCGGTTTCGCCCGGCGCCATGTCACCTAAGAGGGTGCGGCTTGTTACCCCGAATGAGCAGGAGAAGGAAAGTGTTGCCTCGGCTCGAACCGGCCCTCCTTCGAGGGACTGAGCTTGAGTCTTGCGTAACACTCAATGTGTACTATTATTAGCGCGTGTTCTTACTTTCACGTCTTCACTTCATCTTCTTGTCTTCTTCTTTTATTTGATTCCCCAATCGCGATACTTTCAATGAATGAATCCATGAATTTAAGTACATGCGTATGGTGTACAGCCTTCAAGTGCATTTCTCCGTAGTCAGATACTATGTAGATAGAATGTGTCGCATGCTCGCACGTAGCCATTTCCGTCGGATCGCTTGGGAAATGACTTGAACACATTCTTAGAGCATGAAATCCCCACGCCCCTTCGTCTAGAACCTCCGCTTCTTCTTTGCAGGAGCTTTGCCCTTAGCCTCGAGCGACCTCTTCAGTTCCTCGCGCTTCCGGTCAGCCCGCTGGTCTTCAGTCTCCGGCTCTGCAGGTGGAGCCGAAGGAACCTTCTCCGCTGCTGGCGTGGGCAATGGAGACTCCTCCTTTTTAGTTGCAAGTTGGTCAGCCTTCGGTTTAGCAGGTGTGGCTTTTTTGGGTGACATGGCCACCGTGTCAGATGTAGGTAGCGGAGACTTGTCACGAGCTGGTTCGGAGGCTTTGGCTTTAGCCTTGCCGCCTATCATGCCAATTTTCCCAGTATGTTTAGCTTTGACTGTTGGTATCTGTGTCGGCGATATGGGGAGAGGATGATCTTTGCTAGTCCCTTCTTCCTCTTCTGGTGACTTTGTAGGTTCCTGGGGTTTTGGAGACTCGCGGGTTTGTGCTGGAGGGGAAGGCGCTGGCGAAGGCTCAGGCTCCTTTGCTTGCTTTTTCTTGCCACCTATCATACCCAATCCGCCTTTCAGCCTTTTCGGTGCCTCTCGAACTTGCGCCGGAGGAGAAGCGGCGGGAGAGGGTGAGGAAGATGGCGAGGGCCGGCGCTCTGTTTCCTTCTTGTTCTTGCCGCCAATTTTACCCAGTCCACCTTTTGGTACTTTCGGTGCCTCTCGAGCTTTTGGCTGCGGTGCGGTGGGCTCTAGCGACTTTGAAAAGCTGGGAATGCGTCTTTGACGCGGTGCTGGTTCAGGCTCGGAGTCAGAGTCTGATGCTGTGGCTTCGTCTTCCTCTGAAGGCAATATTGGTGGAACAGGACTCGTCTTTCTGGGGTTTTGGTTGGGTGATAATGTTTTGCCTTTGCCATATTGAGGTTTTAGTCTGGGAGGCGTTTCTTGTCGCTAGATCAATGGGGTTAAACTATACTTGTTATTTGTGATTAAGGATAAGTTGTAGCATACCTGAAACTCATCGACCTCGCTGCTTGCAGTTGAGTCCCCTCCTGCATCGATGTGCGTGGTCTCAGTCAGCTTTTTCTTATCTTTGTCGTTGGGAAATTCCTCTTTGATGGGAGAGGCTTCTCTGGCGCTGATCTCAGAGAACCTCGCAATGTGATGCCACCAGTCACCTTGTGCTTGGGTGAAGGTATCTAAATCATGAGAATCACCGGGTCCCGATATTTCCTGTAGTAAATTGGTGGCCAATCCCCCCTCATGTGATATTCCTGTCTCAGCAAGCCAGGTCTGTTCCTCGAACGGCGCAATACCCTTGATAAATTTAGCAGCCTCGGACCGCGTAAGAGCCTTCCGAGACGTGCGAGATCCTGCAGCGCTAGGAAACACAGACCCTAGGTCCACGCCAAGTATTTCAACTTTGTCAAACAACTTGCTAAGTACGTAGTCTTTCTGTTTGATTTGGCTCAAGAGCAAACGTTGGCGGGACTCCCACTCCGCTTCCTCCCTCAGCAACGGAAGCAATAGATTAATGGTCAGGGACGACATGGGTTCCTTTGATAACTTCAAAGACCACTTAAGAGGCTTCAACGGGGAGGGGAGCTTGGTTGTTGTCGTGATTTCAAGGGAGTCGGGTTGTGTTCCACTACTTAGGAGTGCGCTTTCATTGCCCTCTTGTAAAGCTTCTCCAATTTTCTCCAGGAGCACATTGAGTTGTTCTGGGTCCTCTCCAGGGTCGATCGTTGTGGCATTTTCCTCTGCTCTCTTGGTGATAGCTTTATGGGGCAGCCGCTCTGACCAAATATAGGTGAGGTCTGTTATGTGGATCTCATAGCCTTGTCGGGTCCAGGTATACTGGAAGAGCAAAGGAGGTAATCCCTGCTGGGACAGGCGAAGACGCTGCCATTTTGAAGGCATGACTTGATCAACTTGCTGATTTACAATGCGGAGTTGTGAAGTTCTAAAGTTGTCTCATATAGCTGCCTGAGACATAAGGGAAGGTTTGCCGCCCGCTTGACTTTCCGCAGATCTCCCGAACTTCCAACTTCGCTTTTGACATCTAATTTACATACGTTCGGGTCGCATACGCTTCAATCCTTACTCCTCGTTATATTCTTACAGTTTCTACGATGTCTGCGCGATTTCCAGACCGATCAGACTCGAAGCGCAGCAGATCGCGATCGCCGTCCTCGTGGCGTCAGCCCCAGAAACATCCTCGTCGGGACGATGGAGAATGGCGCGACCGACAAGACTCGGATCGCAGATGGAACAATGAGAGATCGGGCCCTTCGCAGCAGCCTCGTAACATGCGCGATCAAGTCCGGCTCAACTTGATCCAGGAAGACCAGCAAGAGCGCGAGTGGGTCGCGCAGGAGGATCTGTTCGTGCTGAAGCAGGCCAAAAAGAAGGCAGAGATTCGAGTCAAGGAAGGACGCGCAAAGCCTATCGACTGGCTGACGGTCACTCTCCGCATCATCGACCCTACGCGTGATCCTCTGGATGACGAGATAGCAGACTCCGATCTGGATGTCGTGGACCCAGACGGTGTTTTTGAGGGACTATCGCAGACCCAACTACAGGACTTGGAGAAGGATATTGATACATTTGTTAACCTTGAGACAAATGCGAAAAACCGTGAATTCTGGCAGGTAATGTTATCTCACCCTGTAACCACTGGGCACCCCTGTTGACCACTGTCCACCCTACAGACTATGAAAGTCATTTGCCGAGATCGTCAAAAAACTGTTACACCCGAGGGTCGCGCGCTGAATTCCGTGGCTGCCGATATCAACAAACTACTAAGCCCGAAGTCCTACGAGCAGCTTCAAAATCTCGAAGTACAAGTGGAACGGAAGTTGAACTCGAACGAACCCATCGACACAGATTACTGGGAAGAGCTGTTGCGCAGTCTGACTGTGTGGAAGGCCCGGGCGAGTCTGAAAAATGTCTATCAAGCTATTATCGATGAGCGTGTTCGCGACCTGAGGAGACAGCAAACACAGGAAGCCGAATCAATTCGGGAAAAATTAGCGCCTCTTGCTCCGGTTGTCTCTGCGGGTGATACAACAAATCATGCCGAGTTTGAAGGCCTGGATCCAGATCCAATGCTCCAGGTTCGCCCGGAGGACAAAGGCCTGGAAATCATGGACGAGTCCGCATTCCTTAACCAAGTGGTAGGTTTTTGGCCTCCCCCTCACTTATGCCAATTCACATGCTAATCAACCACACAGGCCCGCGAACGCCAGAAAATTATTCGTATGGGTTTTGTCCCACTACGACACCGAGCTGCAGAGAAGTCCTCCGCGGTAGTGTCGACTCCGACATCTACCAACGCCCCCGCAGCCTCTGTATCCACACGGTTCTCGTCCATCCCGAACGAAGACTTCTCGCAAGCGACCAAAGCGCTATATGAAAGGGAACTCGCCAAGGGCGTCAGCGAGAATGAGGAAATATTTACGGGCGAAGAGGCTGTGAGCACGAGCTCGCAACCTCAATGGGCCGGTAAGCATCGGCCTCGAAAGCCACGGTACTTCAACCGAGTCCAAATGGGTTATGAATGGAACAAATACAATCAAACCCATTACGACCATGACAACCCGCCACCCAAGGTTGTACAAGGATACAAGTTCAACATCTTCTACCCCGACTTGATTGACAAGACCAAAGCCCCGACTTATCGAATTGAGCGCGAGAACGGTCGCAAGCGGGGGGAGTCATCGGCCGAAGCGGGTGAGGAAGACACCTGTCTCATTCGGTTCATGGCTGGACCTCCATACGAAGATCTTGCCTTTCGAATTGTCGACAAAGAATGGGATTATAGTGCCAAACGAGAGAGGGGTTTCAAAAGTACATTTGACAAGGTATGCCGTGCTACCAAATGATCCCCCCTGTTTCTCAACTGACGTAATTTTTTACATTAAGGGAATCCTTCAACTTCATTTCCAGTTCAAGAGGGTAAGTCGCGTTTTCTTTTTTGGAGTTTTACGAAGATAATACTAACAAGTTGTCTCAGATCTATTACCGGAAGTAACACATGCGCAACCAACGTTTTCCACATGGGCGTCATATCGGGATGGAGAGAGTGGATTACGATATTGTATGCAGGGAGATGTTCGGGGGTATACTTTCCAGTGACTTGATACCCAGTGAATCAGACCAAACCTGGATTGATTGGACTGGAAACATTTCCACCAAGGTTTTCGCAGAATAAGCTGGACTTGATATCTGAAGATATCAGATGCTTGATCCAACATCCGCTTCTTAAAATTGACGACCTTGTCACCTTTCCCACTCCCCATTATGATCGTCTTCTAGGGGGAAACCAAAATCTCTCCACTCGCCTTGACCACGACTAGCGTATCGACACCACATGTCTCTTTTTTCTTTTATTTTTCTGTTTACCAGGGTACTCGCAACACGGGGAACGTTGGGTGTCCTTTGGGTGACACTATCCCGGCCTGCAGGAGCAGGATGTATTCTTGACTTCCGGCTGGTTGGATGCATGCTATGAAAAAAAGAAACAATTGGATTAGACAAAAAAGTAAGAACACGGCACCAGCTTGCAGTTAACTTCCAGAAGCCCCGGAATGAAGCCGGTGTACATTAATGGTGACTTCTGTCCTGCAGGTTCCCATTTGACCATTTGACCATCCCCTTATGGCTCTAGGAGGCCTAGTCCATTCGTTCTAGTTGCATGTCGCATGTAGCATGTAGCACCAGATCCAGCCACTTTGACTTTCCGGTCATTGGCCATTGTCTGTACTATGAATCTCCGTTGCACGACTTGGGCATCTAGGGCGTTTTTCGAAATACGGAGTAGACTTTTCTATAATACAAAAAAAAAACAAATTCCCTTAGGTCCAGACCGTCTTTTGTTTAGACTGCATCTATGAGGTTATTTGCAGAGAAGAAAGCATATGATGTGTTGGCATGAGATCTTGGAATTATACAGCTCCAAATCTACGTTAAAACACACATACATCCTTTGAGGCTGTTGAGGCTGCACTCTGGTCTATTCTTTTCCCCTTCCTATTCTTATTCTTATTTTTATTCCCTCTCCCTCCCCCTCTCCATCTTCTTTCAAGCTTTGCATTTGCCTTCTCATATCTCTACACTTTCATGCTTCCCTTATATTTGCCTTTTTACTCTTCTATCATCCAACCCATCAAGTCACCACCACAGCCAAACGGTGTCTTGCCCAAACATGGATTTCTCATTTAACTCGCAGCATTTTGACAGGGTGCAGCTCTCAGAAGATTCCAAACCTGATCTTCTCTCGCAACCAGAAGGGCCACCCCAGTTCAGTGTAGCTGACTGGGCCAGATGGAGATCCCAGCCAGCTCCCATGCCTCCTCGCCAGTATGAAGTCCATGGCTTTCCTCGTGTTGCTGATGGTGAGCCGTACGGCTTGGGTCCGTTGCCTCAGGAGCTCATTGGGGATGCAAATGGATATATTGATGCCTACCACTCTCATGTTAGCCCCACCATGGCTGGCACATCCTCGGAGGTTATGGCCCCCCAGACTGGGGAGGGTCACCCAGATTGGCCACTTTTGCAGCCCTCCCATGCCTTCAAAGATCAGCAATACAACTATTCTCAGTTGAAGCCGGTTCAGCCCCCTCCAGACTCCCCGCCGTCGCCACTTTCTGAAATCTCTTCCTATCACTCTCCACATTCGCTCGCTGCTTCGAGTCCAGCAATGACAGTTCAGACAGCAGACCGTTTCTCGCCACGTTCAAGTACTGGTGACAACAAAGAAGAGCGTTCCAGCCACCCTCCCTATTCGGTTCTCATCTACCAAGCCTTGAAGGAGGCCCCGGGACACAAGCTTCAACTCCAAAGCATTTACTCCTGGTTCGAAGCGAATACAGACAAGGGAGGGGACCCGAATGCAAAGGGATGGCAGAACAGTATCCGCCACAATCTCTCGATGAACGCGGTAACTCTCACTTTCCATAACTCTTCTTTCAGTTCCTTGCAATACATTCGAGACAACGTCTGCTATATTTGATATCATTACTGACCTTCAGTCTAGGGATTCGAAGCAGTGAAGGAAGAAGTTGGACCAGGCAAGAAAGCCGTGAACTTTTGGAAGCTGACCCCGGAAGCCATCCATAGCGGCGGCATCCAATCAACTACTCGCTACCGTAAGCTCCAGCACCAAAAGAAAGGAATGAACTCAGGCTATCGTGGCTCCACACGTCAGCAATCAGAGTCTAAGGGGGTCCACCTTATGAAAGTCGTCAAATCACGCAGCACGAACAGTCCCCACAACGAGCGCGCCGAAGCATATCATCAACAGCAAATGATAAGCATGAACCCTAGTCTCGGACACGAATACGGTCCCACGAGCCTTCCTGCGATGCAAAAATACATGCAGCACCCCATGGGCCCTGTTGTCGGATGCACCCCCATGATACCAGGCAACGATACGGTCTTCACTGATACCGCGGAACCAGTACCGGCGTTTGATGTGGGCCATAATCATGATTGGTATGCTCCAGAGTCAGGCCCCAACAGGGTCCACGACCCGCTCGAGGGTCCCGGTCGATCATCAGCATGGGACTTCAAAAAAGGAATTTAAGCTACAACAAAAAAAGGAGGGCAAGTTGAGGTGGAGGGGAGGGAACAAGATACAGCGATGAGAAATCCCGGAGAACCCGACGAGCATGCTGCTTTTTTTCCGGATTTCGTTATTTTCGTGCCCTTTTTTCCCCTGGTTTTTAGGCCATTGGTGGAGAATTGAGCACACTAGAGGCATGGAGTTTTTTTTTTTGAAGTGCCCATTTATTTGCTATTTGAATTCAGAATGTATTTGGCGGGCGTTCCACAGAGTGAGCCTCATGGCGATGGAGATCTATCTGCTTTTTTTTCGAGCTATTTTTTCCTCTGTTTTTCAGTCATTCGAACATAAGCTAGGCATATTTTCTTTTCAAGTGTATCATAAGCTAGTAGTGGTGTTCATGATCTTCAAATCCGCAGGATCTAATCGAGATCTATCACAAAGGATGAGATGTCAAGCATTCCCTGTCATGTTTGTCAATTGATCTTCAATGAGGCGCTTGAGCTTAGGCATGTATTTTGTATGGCCGAGTTTCTCCCGAGTTGCACTTATCTCTAGTTCATTACAACTGTACATTGTTGCTAATTTTGAGCGTGAACAATGCCAAGAAATGGAAATATTCTCACCTCTAATACTTAGTTACTAAGTTGTAGTTTTTGTATGGGATGAACTTTGACTCTTCCCTGTCAATGCATTGGGGTTGTTCTTGTCCGTAGCATGGACCACATGTTGTGTTGCTGACAATGCTTCGTATGCTTGCACAGTGGTGTCTCAAGTGACAGGAATAGCCTCCAACCACAGTGAAAGGAAAACTTGTTGAGTGACCACCTGCATGCTTCCATCCATTGAACCTGGAATACTTCTTACGTGGTACAATATAGCGCATCTACCGCTCTCTCATTGCTAGTCTTCTATACGGAGTAGTCTGTCTTGACACCCGGGTTTTGTCCTTATTTAGCCACGCTAGGCAACCCACCAGCACCCCGCTATATCACTCTACTAACTGATGCAGTAGGCCAGGGTGCTGGAGTGACGCGGACATCCTTGGCAGCATCGGCAGCATCAGTAGCTGCATCTTGCTTTTCTCATGATAATCTTTGCTCCCCGTCATTCCCCACTTTTCCTTTTGTCGGTGTCCCAGGAGCACGGAATCTGATACCCTCGTTTCAAGTTAGCGGATCATGGGAAGGACACAGATCTCCTTTTTACCCAGGCTGTGTTTTCCAGTATAACAACACTGATATAACCACGATCAAGATATAGGAACTCAATTATACTCCGTGTATGCTATGATTGGGGGATAATATACTACCTTGCATTATCAATTTCCTTCTCCAAGTCATGCAATGTCCACCACAAGAGCACTTATCTATATACTAGGGTTCATAGTACAGTGTCGTAGCTATGACAGGCTTGTGTGATGGCTGGTCGGCAATGACACCAGTGAGCTAAGCGACATTAGCAACGTGGCCTGCTATGTTTCCTATAATATTTTATGGATTATTCCTTTTTTTTTCTTTTGCAGATTTTCAGGTATTATACCGTTCCCCATATACGGAGTATACAAGTACGCCCACGGGCTTAGAAAGATAGCACTAGGGTATAAGTAACTTGCATTCATAGAACGCACAGTGCACTAGTCTTTGTGCTGTAAGCAAGGAGACACTTACATTAGTCAGTATGTACCTGTGCACTGTTATACAGGTGGCAGCTGCAATGCCGTTCACCACGCGGCTGAATATGCCAGCTAAAGTTGAGTTTCGCAGCCCACCCTACGGGCCGTACCGATAGTGATTGATTTATATTACTATATGCTGGGTAAGATTTACATATTCTTCTTAACTGCAGATTAGAATTAAGAGGTCTACTTTGGGGTGGGTTTCGATATTATTATTAATCTAACCCTAAATCTAGGGCTGCCTAGTTGCCTTCACGGCTAGGGCTGTTATACAGGGGCCACATACAGCTGCCTACTTAGTGTGTACACTAATGTCCTCAACACCGATTTTTTTTATGTCCGCTTGGGCCCCCCTTCCCTAAACCAAACAAGGCATGAGATCCTCTCGTGACAGTCTGCAGGTAAAGTAGTGACCCAAACTTTGAGTTGGTGTTCGTTGTTACCAGGTACTTATTAAAGGTGGAGTTGACCATCCAACCGACGGATGTGCGTCCCGCCCTATCTCAAGGTTGTTAATCGTATGGTGACCTTGCTAGTCCCTTTTTTTGAAGCAAACTGAGCTTTTACGGTGACTCTTACCTAGACTAGCGACAAACCCAACCAGCTAGTGAGAGGAGCCGCCCGTACTGTGATGGCGGCAATGTCCCTCGTGGGCTGTATCCTTATCCCACCGTACAATGTACTCCGTACCTTGGTTTTCTTTCTCTCCTCTTATTTTTTCTTGCTTTCATTTTCCTTTTGACGTATATACCCATATGTCACGTGTATTCCCGTAATGCATGTCGTCAAAAGAGATCCTCACACTGATCTCTGTGGAGAGGTCTTCCATGCAGGGTAAAGGCAGTCAGTATCAATAGTCTCGATTGCAAGGCTGAGCACCGCAAGGCACAGCCCCGCTGTCCAACCCAAATGGGAAAAGATCACGTTATACTCCGTAGGTCTTGAATCATCAAATCGAGCCCAACCCGGGTTCATCCTAGGTTGATTTCGATCTATCAACTCCCTTGAAAAGAGAAATTGGAAACAGGAGAAAGGGGTACATACTCTATGGATCTCTTCATTTTTGATCTGCATGACATCGATCGATGCGGGTTCGGAAATGTCACTTAATATGTATGTACACAGTAGCCGATAGGTTGCCCAGTCTGCTGGAATCCGGGATTTGCAGACGCATCCCGGCGCAAACCGGGGATTTTCTCTTTACAATATTGGTTGTGTTTGAAGTCTGTGGAAAATGTGTTGGATTTGATATAAAATATAGTACCAATAGCCATTCTCCTTTGTGTTCTGACTTTCTCTTCCTCTGGAAGCGACCGCACAAACCTCGCCCGTTGAGCGTTTGTGGGATGGAACGGCCCGGTTCGATAGCTGTCAATTCTGCATACGCTCGAGCTTTCTTTAACAAGCACTAACCCTCGGAGTGGATAGCTTTAGGGAGCAATGCGACACAGAACAATCGCCTGACCGCTTCTTGGGCCGATCCCATTGTCTGTTATCATCCGTGTCCCCGGGTCCCGTCATGTATGAGGCGAAAATTCTCACCTCTTTGCTTTTTCACGGTAAAAAAGAAAGGAAAAAAAGAGACATTCGGATCCGGGCCGGCAGCATATTCTGTTGGCTGCTTCGAGGAACCGGGAATTGAACAAATCGCAGCGGCCACGTACTTTACATATGCGTTACGTACTTAGTAAAACAAGCATGGAAGTAGAGAGATCAATCTTCATTGGTACACCTTTAGCAGCTTCTTTCGCTCTATAGGTATGAGCTAGTGTCGAATGGGTGGTACAGAGATACTAAATCTCCTTTGGGGAGGAGGTCTATTGTTTTGTCACATGTTTGCTCATGCCGTATATTGACTGATAGCAATCATGAGATCGTCCAAGCATGATGCTATTTTACCTTTGGTTGAACCTTAAAGCTAGGTGAAAATCCTTCCTACGTAGTAAATGTACTTAGAATGATGGCCATGACCATAAGTTGGCTATAAATTCAGTGTATCTTCAACCAATCTCATCTGCAGCCTCGAGGAGGTCAAGGCACCAAGGACCTGCAGGATGAAGCTCCTTCCTGAAGGAGTAGTTCAATATATCAACGATCAAGAATAGATATGCCACTATGAAGGAATATAACTTTTCCCCCGATGATTTCCGATAAAGTGCAACAAAAAGCACTGATTTCAATTCCCGTGCTCTGTAGATATATTCCGACTCAGCTAACATATTACTGTATATCGGAGTAATCTTTTCACCAATAACATATTTGGGCAATATATCCTTAAATAGTAGATGAGATGTTCTACAGTGAAGGCCCGAGAGCCTTGCCAACAAGCGGTGTCATTTAACTCTAACCCTAACGCATGACTGGTCGGAGTCTCAATCTGTTGAAAAGCCAAACTTCGCGGGCAAAAGACCCCCCACAATGACATTAGCTTAACATTTTATGCTCATCTATAGTAGTTTTTCAATAGCAAAGAAACATATGTCCCCTTTCAGCTATGCTTCCGAGGTTATGAGGCGCAGCTGCTTGGCAAAGACGACCACTGCTTTACTGATTATTATCTCGACGAAGTCATACATAAGCAATAAATTTACATTTTGTGCTATGGCATAAATAATGCCCTATCCACTTATGCTAATATTGCAAGACTAGTGTAATACCTAGTAGAAAAAATGTGCAAGTTCGTGCCCGAGGAACGAGTGAATGTGAACTTGGATTTCGAACTAGGAATACTGTTTCAGTACTTACTACGAGAACAAGTTATTAGGACGCCATAATTTCGTATCTTTACTAATTTAATAGCGGACCATCCCTTCCTCAGCCAGGAGCTTCCTGCCTCAAGGCCTGGCGATGAGCTTTCGGTATAGTGAATACCGAAGCTCTAATTCTAGAGGCCCCAAGATGAGTTGAAAAAGCATTAAGGTATAAATATATTTTTATTCTTAATCAAAAGAAAGTCTGGATCAAGCTTTGCGTTTTCTACAACATTCATTGATTTTGAGAAGAAGAAAAATGAGAGCTGGAGTTCTCTCAAATGGGAAGATATGCTCTGTACAATCACAACATATAAATAGTTACCTGCATTGATGCAACCAATAAGGGCTGTAAGAAAAGCTTGAACTACCAGACACTACACAAACCCACAACTACATAGCATCTTGTTCTAGCAGGAAAATATCCACCTAGGGAAGATCCTGAGTGTTGTACGGAGTAAGTTGATTTGACTTGGCCACATGTTTCATTCGCAGCCGTAAAAACAAGGCTTAGATCAATTGACCAGACCATGTGGGGTCATAATTCCACGTAGAATGTACTTGCAATGAAGGGTACTAGCGCAGCTTTAAAT